AAAATATTTCCACTCTTCTAAATTAGTAAAGAACACTAGACCATCTATCTCTTTTTAATATTCTGATCATTTTATTTGTGTAAAATCTGTTGCCTTTGCAATTCCATGTATTTTATATCGTGCGTTTAAAACTTTTATTTTGAGGATGGGGCTGGAGGCTTTGCCATATTGCCAGGGCACACTGTGTCACCAAAATCAAAACACAAATATGCCTCTGCCGGGGTCGTGACAGGAAGACCATTTAAGAGGCTCTTAATTCAGGCAAATGATAATGAGAATGTGACTCAGGCAGCATCCACAGGGGACAGACTGCAGAGATCCTTTAACCCTCACTTGCAGAATCTACTTTTATCAGCCAAACAGCCAGATAACAGCATTGCTACTAACCATTTATTTCAGCAGAAGGAAATGCTTCCTTGAAAGTGTAATTTAGGAATGTTTTCTTTTAAATTTAACATAAGAGGAAATGTCCCAGCCACATAAGATGCCACTCAGTTGTTTAACTGGTATAATGGATATTATTATTAGCTGGCCATTTTCCCACAATAGCTTTCCCTCAAGAAAAAAACAATAAGCTTTTACAGCCTCACATGGTGTGACTGAAAGCCTCTTAAAGAAGAGGAACAGAATCAGACACTCATGCAGGGAAGAGAGCCTTGCGGTTTGCCCCAAGGGGCTGGAAGAAGCAGAGGAGCCGCTGGTGGCAGGTTGAGGACACCTCAATAACAGACTGACGCTCCAATCACAGGCCTCTGCACAAGGCTGTGAGTAATCACCCACCAATGCCGGATCCACAGGCTGTTGCAGAGTTCTCTTTCACTGCTCTGTACGTGACACCCTGGGCCTGCAGTATCGCACACAGCAGCCACGTTTGTCACTTGAGTTCCACTGATCCAGCAGCTCTGATGGGTTGCGGCTGTCTTCAGTCCCTGAATCTCCCAAGGATTATGGTTTTGCACTCTTACTGACCTTTCAGTTGATTTTGAGCAGGGGCCTTGTTTCCTTTTACTAGAATGTGAGCTCTTAGAGTCTGGGGATCATGATGCTCCTCAAAGTATATACAGTTCTTTGTGAGATGAAGCAGTCTTTCAATATTTCAGTTAAGTACATTTACCTAAGGAAAGTGAAGCTCCCCGACCCTGATTTGTAATTCTATTAAATATTTACCTTGCTTATGGCCCCAGAAAATTATTTTAAGTCCTGTGTAGCATAACTGCAGTGCAGAATGGTTCTAGGATTGATCAGAGCCATGGAACTAAAAAGACATCTAATCTAATCCTCTTAGATTTCTTTAAGAACTAATTATTGTAATCAAGTGAAAAAAAAATCCCTTTTTATTTTGCATTTTAAAAATTTATGAATCTAAATAACTTTTACAGAAAAAGAATCTATTCTCCCCCAATCTCTCTGATCTTTGGGGAGAACCATAAAGCTGGAGGCAGAAGTACTGTTCAGAGCCACCTGGGCCCTGGGTCCACCTCCCTGCCCCAAATGAGGAATATACCCTTGCGGCTGATCAGTTTGGGGGGCACTCTCTGACACACAGGTGTTCCAACTTAGAACACTTTTCATAGACCCTTAAATGTAAGCTCATACAGTCTTCAGTGTCAGCCCCTTAGGAAGATACTGATGACCTAGTCTGGATATAAGTGTATTAGTGAGAGAGACTGGCTTCGTTATCAGCTCTGGAACATTCACTGACTGGGTAAAGAATGTCAACAACATTTGCACACCCCATAAGGAATCAAGAGCCATGGAGAAAGCCAGCAAAGATATAGTGCATCCAGTTCCACTTGATGTGGCCACCTAGCATCTGTTAGGTGTTGTTTCCTCAGCTACTAAGTGAGGAGGCAGTGAGGTATATGAGCACCTGCGTTGGTCTCTTCCTGCTAATCTGTAACCTGCCTATACTACTACACTTAAAAAAAATTACGGGGCGCCTGGGTGGCTCAGTCAGTTAATTGGTCGACTTCAGCTCAGGTCATAACCTCAGGGTTCATGGGTTCAAGCCCCACACCAGGCTCTGTGCTGACAGCTCGGAGCCTGGAGCCTGCTTTGGAGTCTGTGTCTCCCTCTCTCTCTCTGCCCCTTCCTTGCTCACACTCTGTCTCTCTCAAACAAACATTTTTTAAAAATTAAAAAAAATATATACATATATATACGTATTCTGTAGTTGTTACATGAAATAACCTATAAATGTCTATTAGGACAAACTGACAGTGTTGCCCAAATCTTCCATTTTCTTAATGACTTTTTCTCTATTTGTTCCAAAATTATTGGCCGAGAGTTGTTAAGTTTTCTAACTACCGTGGTGGTGTCTGTTTCTCCTCTTAGTTATTTGTGTCTTATATTTTGTAGCTCTTTTACTAAGAGTATACAGATTTGGGGATGTTACATTTTTGTTGATGAATTGGCCTTTTAAGCATCATGAAAGGACACTGTTTATCTGTATTAATACTTCTTAAGGTCTACTTAATCTGATACTAATATAACCATACTACCTTTCTTACTGTGTGTTTTATGTGTCTTTTCATTCTTATACTTTCAACCTGTGTTTTTTTATTTAAAGTGCATATCTTGTACATAGTATTTAGTTGGATCTTACTTTTTTAATCTAGACAATCTTTGCCTTAAACTCGTTAGTTCACTTAATGTTATTATTGATATAGCTATGAGTTTTACTTATTTTTTATTTTTTACTTTTTATGTTTGTTTATTTTTGAAAGAGGGAGAGACAGAGGGAGAGCAGGGGAGGGCAAGAGAAAGGAGGAGACACAGAATCCGAAGCAGGCTCCAGGCTCTGAGCTATCAACACAGAGCCTGACATGGGGCAGACACCCAGGTGCCCAGTATAGCTATGTTTAAGTGTTTCAACTGTCATTTGTTTTCCATTTGACCTCATGTTTTCCCTCCCATCCCTTTTGGCGCGTTAATCAACTATTTTTTTAAATAGTCCATGCTTGGGTGGCTAAGTCGGTTAAGCATCTGGCTTTGACTCAGGGATCTCATGGTTCATGGGTTCAAGCCCCACGTCAGGCTCTATGCTGACAACTCAGAGCCTGTAGACTGCTCCGGATTCTGTCTCCCTCTCTCTTCCCCTCCCCCACTCCGATTCTGTCTCCCTCTCTCTTCCCCTCCCCCGCTTGTACTCTGTCTCTCAAAAATGAAGAAACGTTAAAAAAATTAAATATTCCATTCTCTTCTGTGATTTTTTAGCTTCTGTGTGTGTGAGAGAGAGGCAGAAACAGAGAGAGACTGCTGTAACAAAGATTCAGGTTCACACTTAAACTAATAAAGTTTCTACCTGCAATGAGTCAGGCACTGGGCTAAACACAATGCTATGAGGTTGTTATTTGTTTTGAACTTCAGGAAAGTTGCTCCCTGGGTTATGGTATTCTAAGGGGGTGCATTAAACTGAAAGTTACACGTTTCAGTTCAAATCCAAGCTCCACCACCTCACACTTGTGTCATCTTAGCCAATGTGTATATATTTTGTGAGCTTCCATTTCCTTATCTATAAAATAAGAATGGATGTTTTAGTGCTACTTTTTAGGATGACTACATAGATCACATGGAATAATTTCTATAGATGGATGATGAAAAGTATAACTATAAACATATAGAATATTCAGGATTTAATGAAAGCACTGATTTGCTCTCTATACCTTTAATAAATGTGTATAAATTTCAATCCTATCTTCTCTATCATCTTTCTAAATTGAAAAGCCTTCCTTTCTTTGGTACATTTGTTGTCTTTATATTTTTGGCAGTTCTTTCCTTATACCATCTCTAACTATGATTATGTACCCCTTCCACAACCGCTGTGTCAGAGCATACTTCTTTCTGCTCATACTTCAAGACCCAATTAAAATAGCATGTCATTTATGACAACTTCCCACTCATATTTATTCACTCTCTTCTGATACCCTCTCAACTCTACTTATCTCATCATATTGTAACTATTTCCACACATTCACTAACTTGGCCTGACTAAAACTCCTCCAGTGACTATTTGGTTCATCTCAGTATTTCCAATGTTGAATATAGAGCCTGGTGCAGAGTAAGTGCTCAATAAATACCTGTCGACTGAATGAAAGGACAGAGACAGACACCTCGGGGAAGGACGGCTTTTGTCTCTGATCTTCAGTGCTGAGAGTGTCATCCCTGTGAAGATAGAGAACGTGTGAAGCCCATTAGTTGTTCTGGTATTTATGCAACTCCCACTGTCCCACTTGCTCAAGTGGAAGCAGTTCAAAAACCACCATCCTTTAATGTTGGATTAATGTCATTAAACCTCTTACCTTAAATATCCCTGGGAAAATCTGGGAAGACTTTATGCAGTGATAGGTTTTAAAAGACCAATAGAAGTTTTACTTAAGTGGGAAAGGATCTCAGAAAAAGGTAAATTCTCTTGAAATCTTTCCACAGTCCAAATCTGGCTTAGTGTGCAAGTGCTTTCTTCTCCTACCCCATCTCTTTCCACTCTCTCACCTATTACACTCCAGTCATGCTGAACGACCTTTAGTTCTCTCCACGTTTTTCTTTCCTCTGGGCCTATGTACATGCTATTGCCTCTACTTGGAATGCTTTGTTCCGCTGATTTCCCTTAACCTGGCTAATTCTTGTGTGTCCCGTAGGTCTCAGCCTATATGCTGCCGCCTCTGGGATGCCTTCACTGACCGCTTGTCCTGACTCCCCAAGTCTGAATTAGGTGCTCTTTCTCTATGTTCTCACAACACCCTGAACTAATTTCCTTTAGTACTGGTGAAAGTATTGAAATTTCTTTGTAGTCTTCTCTCTTTTAGAGAATGCACTAGACTTAGCATTCCTTAAGGCATTGAATCTTCTGTTATTCCCAGGGTCCTGAATGATGCCTGGCACAGAATAAACCTCACTAAACATTTTCTCAATGAATGAATGAATGAATCCCACGAGAATGCCAGTTGCAAAGAAAGCTTAAAAGAACAGGTAGCTGGTATACTTTCTCTTTCCATATCCAGCATTCTCCTGGTGTGCAGCCTGCAGATGTGGAGGAAGTTGTCAAGAAGGGTGTGCAGACTCTTGTGATTGGCCGAGGGATGAGTGAGGCCTTGAAGGTAGGTATTGGTGAGCACAGCATTCCTGAGGACACCTGGTGACCTCTTGGACCATTAGCTTAGAAACAGATCCTTCTTGGGGCACCTGGGTGGCTCAGTTGGTTAAGCATCCCACTTCGGCTCAGGGCATGATCTCACGGTTCATGGGTTCAAGGCCCGCATCGGGGTCTGTGCTGACAGCTCAGAGCCTAGAGCCTGCTTCGGATTCTTTGTCTCCCTCTCTGTCTGCCCCTTTCCTACTTGTGCTCTTTCTCTCCCTCTCAAAAATAAAATAAATGTTAAAAAAATTTTTTAAAGGAAAGACATATGTCCTTGGGAGCTCATCTCCATATATCATGCACCCTCATTTTCCTGAGTCAGGGTGGCCCAGGATAAAATAATGGAGGTTAGTACTCTTCCTCATCAGGGTTGGACTCTCCAGTCTCTACCTAAGCCTAGGTCTAAGCCCAGGCCTGTGTTCTTTCAACTATTTTTCAGAAATTCTTCACTCCTGGAATCCTCAAGCCCTATAGCTATCAATATTTGGTACTTTAGATTGTCATAGTGCCACATAGTGTCATTGTCACTTTTTTTAAAATTGCATAACAGTTTTATAATACTTTCTATTCTTTCCTTGAACACAATCAAGCTATGCGTTTTTCCCCTTTCAGAAAAAAAATATTTTTATTGTACTTAGAGAAATAATACATGCTAATTGCAAAACAGTAGATGCAGAAATACTGAAGTAGAAAAGTGAGCGCTCCCCTGCCCCATGTGAACGTGATGTATACTGTCCAATTCTCTATGTAGCTGCAAATACTCTTACGTGTACAGATGTATATATACACACTTATAACCATTTTTACAGAAACAGGATCACACTGTACATATTGTTCTGTAACTTGCTACTGACATTGTTACATTGTAGACAGCCTTTCACAGAGGTCTATAAAGATCTGCCTCATTCTTTACACAGATGTCCTAAAATCTAGTTACCTACTGATGCAGCTGCCCTTTATTTATTTATATTTTTTTGTTTAACCTAGTTTTTTCCCCCATTGAAGTAATTCCTTCCTATATGGCTATTGTTACTATAAAGTTGTTCAAACATGTAAAAAATACAGGGCATTAAAAAAATATTTCAGAGCCCTTTTTGAGGCAGAATCTAATGAAAATCTACTTAAAATAATACTTAGCACAAGCCAGTTAAGAAAATACCCAATAATAGCTGCCACTGTTGAGAATCTTTTATATAAATTAATTTGCAAACATTTATTCAGTGCCTTCTATGGGTCAGATGCTATTCTAGGCCCTGGAGACAACAATAAAAATAAGAAAACAAGGTTCATGGCCCTCTTGGAAAATAAAATAGTAGACAATTTCAGATCATAACAAATGTTGTGAAAAAAAATGGTGACTTCTGAGGGGCTGCTGTAAATGGAGGAGTCAGGAAAGGCCTTTCTGAGGAGACAGTTGAGCTGCAGTGTATATACATGAGTTAACTTCATTCTCACACCACCGTGTGATGTTAGTATTATCCCCATTTTAAAGGGGAGGGAACTGGGGTTGAAAAACTTTAAATAGCTGGCCTATAGCCTGTTGGTTGGTACACGGCAAAGTTAGACTTTAGACTCCGGCTGGACTGACTCAAACTTTCAACAGTTATGTGTTAGACATTTTACATCGCTTAGCTGAATTAGTTTTCATTCCAGCCCTGTGAATTAGGTATTATTATCCTTATTTACAGACATGGAAACCAAGGGTCAGAGAATTGAATTCACTTACCGAAGGTCACACTGCTAGTAACACTTAAATTCAAGGCTGCCTGACTCCAAAATCAATACTCTTTCCATTTTCACTTCACCTGAGCTTTGTGCATGCACGATATCTCTGTCCACTTCTTAGAAGCCTTACTGACTCCTTGGGCCTCGATGCCAAATTTTGGACTGGTAAACACTGGGTGACAGTTGTCATTGTCCAATTCTGTAAAGAGCACCTGCCTCATGGCAGGAAAGGAAACCCTGGAGGGCCTTTACTCGGACTTATTCATCTTTTTCCCTCTTCCCAGGTGCCTCCATCCACTGTGGAGTACCTCGAGAAACAAGGCATTGATGTGCGGGTCCTCCAGACAGAGCAGGCAGTGAAGGAGTATAATGCCTTGGCTGCCCGAGGCATCAGGGTGGGAGGGGTCTTCCATTCCACGTGCTGATGGAGCCTTACGGAGAATAAATCACTAAGCCACGATGCCTGTGACTATCACTCTTACCACTCTCACGGACCTCCCCAAGCATTTTTCAACAGCTGCTCATGCCAGGTGCTGGGCTAGGGCTTGGGATGCATGGATGGCTAAGGCAAGGTCCCATCCTGGGGGGAACTGAAAATCAGGGAAGAAGACAGATATTTACCAAAGCTTAATAATATAGTAAATGTAAGGCCAGAAATACAAGAAAATAAAGGCAAAAATAAAGCCTTCTCCATTGGAGGCCCAAGAAAAGTTTCAGTGCATTAAAGTTACATTGCAGTAGATGCTTTGTAATGTTTAACCATTAATTCAATCAATTTTTATTGAGTACTTTATATTCCAGGCACTGCTATAGGCACAGAAAAACAGCAATCAAAATCTTATCCTCACAAAGCTGATGTCTAGTGGGGAAAATAAACAATAAATTCCATAATGTTAAGTAGAACCTGTTATGAAGAAAAATAAAGCAGGATAAGAAGATGAAGAGTAGTGAAGGCTATTTCAGATATGTGCTCAGGAAAAGTCTCTTGGTACAGTTGACGTAGGAGTAGAATCGTGACTAAAGTGACAGAACATTTCTGTAACAGTAGCAGTAAAAAGGGCGATATCCTGATCCCAGGGATCTAGGCAGGCTTCTCCACTAGCTAACCTCACCTTCCCTTTGCTCTGAAATGATGGGGCTGGACTAGACCACCGCGGGTAGTTTTCGTTCTGTTATATGCCACGTGTCCTTTGTGAAGCCTTAGAGGAGACTGATGAACTATAAATTATCACCATCACATTAGTTTTCATTCCTCCCCCTCTTGAAAGAGTTTCTGCCACTCACTGGTTGGGCATTTATTTAATCTCTTAAGAGTTTCACTGTTCTCACCTGTCAGATAGGGATAATAATTAGTACCTGGAGTGATTCTGTAGGTATTAAATGGGGTGATTCATACTATGTCTTAGCATACTGCTTGGCATGTAGTAAGGACTCAATAAATTGAAGCCATTGTTGTCATTGTATTTTGATTAGTAAGTCTGCTGTGTGAAGTCAACTAGTTTCTTTTTATGGTTCCTAACAGCAGCTTATTTCATAGATCTGTAGAATGTTGAGCCCCAAAGGACCTATCTACTCTCTCATTTATTTATTCTCTTTCCTGCCCATTTACTAAGACTCTCTTACTGATTTTCTTATGACCAGTTATTGCTGGCCCCTGGGGGTAGAGGAATGAATAAATTCTAATTCTTGCCCTCAGGAGTTATGTGGGAAAGACAAATGTATAGACAATAATGATACAGTCTGTTAACGTCGTAATAGTTAGAAGGTCTAATGATGGCCTGATCCCACCAGGATGGAAGGGAAAGTAGGGAAGACCTCACTTAAGTACAGGACACAAGCTGAGTCTTAAAGAACAAGGTGTTCGTTTATTCCCCAAACATTTGGCAAATTTTTAACTATACATTTACTAGGTCAAGTATCTCTCACAGCCATAATTAAATAAAATCCCTCCACCTCAGGCCATGTTGAAGCCACAACCCCAGGAAGCTGGTTTTTGCTCCATGTGATCCTGTCACCTGCTTGGCCCAGCTGGATATCTGACTAGGCAGCCAACCCATGAAGAGCAACTTAAGATGCGGCTTTGCAAAAGGTTAGCTAAGACTACTGCAATGGAGAGTGAAGGGATCTCTCCAAGTTTACCCAGCAAGAAAGTGGCAGAGCAAGGATGAGAACCCGATGCTGTGTCTTGATCTCTACCATACACCACCTTAAAAGGCCCATGGGAGTGGGGCGCCTCACTGGCTCAGTCGGTAGAGCATGCAACTCTTTATCCCAGGGTCATGAGTTGAAGCCCCACACTGGGTTAGAGCTTACTTAAAAGGGGTGGGGAGGGGGTTGGCACATGGGAGTGAGATCCTTACAGACCTGACTTAGCCTGGAGGTCCAGGAAGTCCTGTTTAGTGCCCTTTCTGCAACCAGTAATTTGACAGATACAGGATCTTTCTAGGTCTCAGTTCACTCAGCTCAAAAAGCCAGGCACCTATACAGCTAGACGGTGTTTGATAAAAATTAGACTGTTTCTCTATTGATGCAATCGCCTTTTTTTTTTTTTTAAGTAGCATGTAAAGTGAGACATCTCTAGTAGGTGCTGAGTTAGGTGTGGGTGTAATCAGTGTTCCTGAGTTGTCTCCACATTAGAGAGAACTTAGAACAAAATTCTTGGAGACAGAAGTATCTGACAGTGACATTATTAAAAGTTGTACAGAACCTGCTAATAAATAGCTCCTATTCCTGAATCTGTTCTCCATGGCCATTGCTGGAAATGTGCAGAACCTGGAGAGAAGCTATTTTTTCCACATGACACTACACTTGGTCCCATGTCTTAATCATTAAGCCCTTTGGATTTGATTTGTAGGCAACACAGCCCTCCCTCTGCCCACACTTCATTTCTCCTAGCTTGAGTGCTTCTTAAGACGAGAAGTCTGCCAAGTGCTTCTGTGTACCCTATAATTCTGTTTGCAGAAGTCAATCATGTCAAAGCCAAATATAAAGTCCTTTCGGAAACATGAATCCCAGGGCTGGCTTTTGCAGGCATGACATGGTACTGCTGTTTGCTCTGGAATCATATTCGTTCTTCCCCTGCCTGCTGTGTGCCAGTAGCAGTGCTGGAGATACAACAGACATTCTCACTGCGCCGCTAGGCACAGAGTAGTTGGAAGAAACAGACATGTAAATATACAGTGATGGTACCAACGTTACAAAGTGGCACAAATCTACCTAGACACCTGTTTTGTTTCAAGAGTCATTTTAACATTTATCATTTATTTTTCATTTGGATATTTTAACATGAAAATGCAGATTTCTGGCTGTTCTGGAAGAACTGGAAGATCTTATACCACCAGACCCACACTTAAACCAGAGTAGAAATGAATGACAACTGTCTTCTGACAGAAGCTATACTCTCTGACTAAAGAGAACTGAAGTCTGTTACCTTCCTCCAAGCTTCATGACTCCTTTTCCCCTGCCTACCTTCTTTAGAGGTTTCCATTTGTAAGCCTGCAGTAAATAAATAAATATGCTTAAAGAACGTATAGAAGACTGTCGGAACACAGAGGCAACACGCCAAGCCCACAGGAGACACAAGATAGGTTCCAGAATGAGGCTCAGTTCTGGAGAATGAAAAGGAACTTTAGGAGACAATTTGAGGAATATACTCCGGGGCTCAGCAGGTCCGAAGGTCTGAGACAAGAGAGCACGATGAATGTTGGCAACAACTACAGGCATTCTCTAGAGGCAGAGAAGTACAAGAATGTGTGGCACAGGCAGTATGAGGCTGGAGAGCAGGGGAGGGGCATGAAGAGCCTTCAGGAATAGGACTTTAGACTTTATCCTGGGACCAGAAGTGGGCCACTTCGGAGGGACTTCAGCAGGGGAATGCCATGAGCAGATCTGGGTTTTAGAAAGATTATTCTGGTAGCTGTGTGAAGAATGGACTACAGGGGCAAGGTCTGAGGCAAGATCTCTAGGAAGCTAATGCCCCATTTTAGGAGATGCTGGTGGCCTGCACTAGGATAGAAACTGAGTATGAGAAGAGCATTGAGTCAAGAAACATCTAAGCAGAATCTAAAGGACTTGATGGCTATGTTTACATGAGGGGAGAGAAGGAAGTCCAGTGTGACACCTGGGTTTCTGGCTGTGACTGCTGGGTGCAAGAGAGACCACTTACAAAGCACAACAGACCCATTATGGAAACCATATTCATTAAGAATCAGGAGGCCTGGCTTCCAGCCTTGGCTTCACTATGAATTCAGTCTCTCCAGGCTTGTATATTCACTTCTAAAATGAAAGTGCCACACCAGAGTGATCTTTACACTCCCTTTTAGGTCTTTGTAACCTAAGGTCATTTTTTCACTTCATTCAGCGTGGAAACAGATGCAGAAAAATCAAGGTTCTCACACTCCACAGAACCTGATAATTCAGGGTAAAAGGAATTTAAAAGGTTGGGCCCAATCTCTCATATGATACTTGAATTCCCTGGCAATAAACTTGTTAGGAGCTTGTCCAGCCTCTGCTTGAACACATCCAACATGGAAAATTTCTTATCTCCTAATGTAGCCCATTTAATTCTTACCCTGCTTTTAAAAACTTATCTTGATACTAAGCCCAAATCTGCCCCTTAGTGTATCTCTACCTTTGGTGGAAAATGTACTATATTTTGGGTATCAAGACCTAGGATAAAGTCCTAGCTTTGCCCCTTCGGAGAAAAACATTACCTCAAAACCTCAGTTTCTACACCTGTAAAATGGGAGATAACCTGAAAGGATTTTTATAGCAGGGGTACTGTATCTGAAAACGATGCAGCACAGCCTTCCCCGGGAAGGCTTTCTATAGCGATAGCATGAGGGGCTCGGTTGGCAGCCATGGGTCTCAATGTTCTCATCTATGCTCCAACCTAGCAATCACCATAAGGTGTTGGGTAAGGACTGCGCTATGATTCGGCCTGGCTCCCAGCTTCATTTTGTCACCAGGGAAGGCACTTTTGTCAGGGTATCTTGTTGACACACGAGAGCCCACTGATGGCACATCCTTGAGATACACAAAACAAACAGACACACTAGAAAAGCAAGCCAGCTCTGTGAAGGGCTTTCTTTGCTTAGTCCCCCTCTAGCAAGTAAGAGGTTCTGGAGCCAGACTTCCTGGGTTCAAACCCCAGCTCTATCATTTATTAGTTGTGTGACTGAGGCCAAGTTACTCAATTCTCTGAACTCCAACTGCCTTGCTTGTAAAACAAAGATAACAGTAACTATTCAGAGGATGGTTGTGAGAATTACAGGAGTTAATTCATGCAAAGCTTTTACAACACTGCTGGGCATAAGTCAAGTGCATTAAACAAAAAGCCAAACATGCGTGAATTCAAATTCCAGCTCCACGTAAGTAATCTTATAATCTTCCTATTATTTTTATAAGTTTTCCAAGTACCAGATATGATCAAGATTAGTTACAGATTCAGAATCTACCAACCA